CTCAGGTCCCCCACCCATCCGTGTCTCTCTCCGCCTCAGGTCCCCACCCATCCTGTCTCTCCAGCCCTCAGGTCCGTGTCTCTCTCCGCCTCAGGTCCCCCACCCATCCGTGTCTCTCTCCCGCCTCAGGTCCCCCTCCCATCCGTGTCTCTCTCCTGCCTCAGGTCCCCCTCCCATCCGTGTCTCTATCCCGCCTCAGGTCCCCCACCCATCCATGTGTCTCTATGCAAATCTATTTATGTATTTGCATATTTGTTCTCTTGAATATGATATTAGATCTTTAAACTCAAAACAATTTTGAGACACACACATCATTCATTTCTTCTTGTTATTTTCTTCATTTTGTCATCATGTTCTTCATCTGCTTAAAGTCAAAATAAATCATTTGGATTTTTAATCACAGTGAGTTGCATTTTCCATAGGATTAGTAGTACTGATGTAGAATTATTAAAATCTTTATTAGAACCTGTATTGAATTATTGTACTAACTCCATTTTAATCTCACACTATGACAGAACTCTCCATTTTGTTCACCTTACATGACAGTATTCAATATAATGAATAAGAGATTGTATTTTCTCTCTAAGGACATAACTAGCCCCGGAGTTAGCGGGTCTCCGTTGACTTGCAACATAGTATAATCCAAGGCCAGGAGAACAGCGACTAAATGAAATGTTCTATTCATAAAAGAACCTTGGACCAGACCACGAGACTGACATCACTAACTACGTAAAATGACGCCCAAGCCCCCCTTTCCACCGAGTAAGCCTCGTGCTAAAGAGCAATGGCGACGACATCCCATGATGGGAGGGTGCCTCACTAGTCACTCAAATCTCTGAGCCAATTAATAATATTAATGGGTGGACGCTGACATAGCCACTTAACATTTAACCCAATTAATGATGTTTATTTGTTATTATCTGATATTCAATGATGATGTCATTTTGCATATAAAAAGGCCTGCGTGCCCACTTTTTAACTAGATGTTAATAAATTTCCTGAAGTGTTTTTAACCTGAACTGCATGTGTCAGTGTGAACTTACTTCTGCGTATACGCAATTTATTCATCTCAGATTTGGACAGGAACAGATAGACTTTTAAACATTTTTGTTTATTTCTAAATTAATCTACATCAGTTTCACTACTGCAGGGATTTTTTCCTCCGAGCTTCCTACAAGACAGGCAGCACTTCTCTGTAAAAAAAATAAATAAAAAAAAAAAAATAAATTCTACACAGGTTAGCTCCGTTAACTCTTCTGAAACGGTATATAAACCAGATCCATCCAAAATACTGAAAAAGTGTATTCCGTAAAAGGGAAGGAAACATGTACTACCACTAATATTACTGAAAATAGAATTTACAGTTGGCAAAAATTCTGTTTTCCAATTTGGATAGTGGCAGTACTACAACAGGGAGTTAACAACCTGCAGTCAATCTTATTTGGCAATTTTGGGAAGAATCTCTTATCCTAAAGTAGCTTCTCCAGGGGCAAGGACATCTAATTTATAATGCTTGGTGAAAATATGTAGTGAAGTCAATGTTGGAGCTCTGCAGACCTGTTAGACTGAAGCCGGGTGCTTTAGATGCCCAGGATGTAGATATTGCTCTTGCAATAAGATTTTCCCACTTGCACAGGCAGCAAACCTATTCCACTTTGTTGTTCTTAGAAGCCACGAGATCTATTTCTAGAGCACCCAAAACGATTCATTATCTTCTGCAATATTTTCATGGACCGAGATCAGCCTTTTGTCTCAAATCTTTTTTTGATTAAGGGAAACTGCTAGTTTGTTGTCTATTCCTTCTATGCGTTGGTTGTATTCCAGCCAGAAAGCGTTCTGCCCAAATCATGATTATGGAACATAGAAACATAGAATGTGACGGCAGATAAGAACCATTCGGCCCATCTAGTCTGCCCAATTTTCTAAATACTTTCATTAGTCCCTAGTCTTATCTTATAGTTAGGATAGTCTTATGCCTATCCCACGCATGCTTAAACTCCTTTACTGTGTTAACCTCTACCACTTGAGCTGGAAGGCTATTCCATGCATCCACTACCCTCTCAGTAAAGTAATACTTCCTGATATTATTTTTTAAACCTTTGTCCCTCTAATTTAAGACTATGTCCTCTTGTTGTGGTAGTTTTTCTTCTTTTAAATATAGTCTCCTCCTTTACTGTGTTGATTCCTTTTATATATTTAAATGTTTCTATCATATCCCCCCTGTCTCGTCTTTCCTCCAAGCTATACATGTTAAGATCCTTTAACCTCTCCTGGTAAGTTTTATCCCGCAATCCATGAACCAGTTTAGTAGCCCTTCTCTGAACCCTCTCTAAGGTATCAATATCCTTCTGAAGATACGGTCTCCAGTACTGTGTACAATACTCCAAGTGAGGTCTCACCAGTGTTCTGTACAATGGCATGAGCACTTCCCTCTTTCTACTGCTAATACCTCTCCTATACAACCAAGCATTCTGCTAGTATTTCCTGCTGCTCTATTACATTGTCTGCCTACCTTTAAGTCATCAGAAATAATCACCCCTAAATCCCTTTCCTCATATGTTGAGGTTAGGACACTATCAAATATTCTGTACTCTGCCCTTGGGTTTTTACGTCCAAGATGTATTATCTTGCACTTATCCACATTAAATGTCAGTTGCCACAATTCTGACCATTTTTCTAGTTTACCTAAATCTTTTGTCATTTGGCTTATCCCTCCTGGAACATCAACCCTGTTACATATCTTAGTATCATCAGCAAAAAGACATACCTTACCATCAAGACCTTCTGCAATATCACGAATAAAAATATTAAAGAGAATGGGTCCAAGTACAGATCCCTGAGGTACCCCACTGATGACAAGTCCAAGCTTTGAATATATTCCATTAACTACAACCCTCTGTTGCCTGTTACTCAGCCACTGCCTTACCCATTCAACAATATTTGAATCCAAACTTAAAGATTGCAGTTTATTGATAAGCCTTCTATGTGCAACAGTGTCAAAAGCCTTACTGAAATCTAGGTAAGCAATGTCTACTGCACCACCCTGATCTATAATTTTAGTTACCCAATCAAAAAAAGTTTGGCATGATCTCCCTGAAGTAAACCCATGTTGTCTCTGATCTTGAAATCCATGTGTTTTTAGATGTTCATCAATCCTATCCTTTAACATGGTTTCCATCACTTTCCCCTCTACTGAAGTAAGCAGGGGCGGACTGACCACTCGGGCACTTCGGTCATGGACCGAGGGCCCGAGGCAGTCAGGGGCCCGGCAGCACAGCCTTGTTCCAGCTGGAGAGATCAGAGATCTCTCCAACTGGAACAGCAAAAAATAATAAAATAAAACTTTTTAATTGATAGGTTGTGGGGCCCCTGATGCAGCACGGGGCCCCACAACCTACCGCTCTGCTAGTCACACCTCTCCCCCCCCCCCATGAAACCTGGCAGCTTCACCTCCTCCCTGCCAGGTCTCCGGCTTCCTCTCCCATGCGGCTCTGTGTGATGGGAGAGGCGGGGCCAGGAAGTGACATCACTTCCTGTTTACTCCTCTCACACAGAGCCCAGCATGGAGAAGGAGCAGCAGCCTGGGAGAGAAGAGGGAGCAGAGATGCAGGTAGGCACCAACCACCCCCTCCCCCCCCCCACTGTCACTAGTCACCCCCCACTGTCACTAGTCACCCCCCCTCACTGTCACTAGTCACCCCCTCACTGTCACTAGTCACCCCCCCTCACTGTCACTAGTCAACCCCCCCACTGTCACCAGTCACCCCCCCCACTGTCACCAGTCACCGCCCCACTGTCACTAGTCACCACCCTCACTGTCACTAGTCACCCCCCTCACTGTCACTAGTCACCCCCCCACTGTCACTAGTCACCCCCCCACTGTCACTAATCACCCCCCCACTGTCACTAGTCACCTCCCCTCACTGTCACTAGTCACCCCCCCACTGTCACTAGTCACCTCCCCTCACTGTCACTAGTCACCTCCCCCCACTGTCACTAGTCAGCTCCCCCCACTGTCACTAGTCACCCCCCACTGTCACTAGTCACCCCCTCACTGTGTCACTAGTCACCCCCCCCCGTGTCACTAGTCACCCCTCACTGTCACTAGTCACCCCCACAGTCATACATTCACCCCACCCTCACTTTCAATGCTAAGGCACCCCAGTCACTAGTCACCCACCCCCCCCTCACTGTCTAGTCCCCCCCTCACTGTCACTGGTCACCCCCCTCCACTGTGCCTGGTCCCACCTCCTCACTGTCACTAGTCACCCCCCTCTCACTGTCACTAGTCACCCCCCCATCTCACTGTCACTAGTCACCCCTCCTCACTGTCACTAGTCACCCCCCTCCTCTGTCACTAGTCACCCCCCGTCCCTAGTCACCCCCCCTGTCCCTAGTCACCCCCCCACTGTCACTAGTCGTCACCTCCCTCACTCTGTCACTAGTCATCCCCTCACTCTGCCACTAGTCACCTCTTCCCTCACTCTGTCACCTGTCACCCCCTCACTCTAGTGACAGAGTGAGGGAGGGTGTGACTAGTGACAGAGAGAGGGAGGTGGTGACTAGTGACAGAGAGAGGGAGGTGGTGACTAGTGACAGAGGGAGGGATGGGGTGACTAGTGACAGTTACCACCTCCTTCACTCTGTCACTAGTCACCCCCTCCATCACTCTGTCATTGTGTCACCCCCTTCCTCACTCTGTCACTAGTCACCCACTCCCTCTGTCACTAGTGACCCACTCCCTCTGTCACTAGTCACACCCTCCCTCTCTCTGTCACTAGTCACACCCTCCCTCACTCTGTCACTAGAGTGAGGGGGTGACTAGTGACAGAGGGAGGGGATGACTGGTGACAGAGTGAGGGACGGAGGGGGTGACTAGTGATAGAAGGAGGGAGGGAGTAGTGACAGAGGGAGGTGATGACTAGTGACAGGTAGAAGACTGGTGACTAGTATTTCCCCCTCACTGTCACTTTGAGTCGCCTTCATACCTCACTCTGCCACTAGTCACCCCCATCACTCTGAGTGACAGGTGAGGGGAGTATTAGTGACAGATAGGCTGAGGGAGGTGGTGACTAGTGACAGGGTAAGGGACGGAGGGGGTGGCTACAGAGTGAGGGAGGTGGTGACTAGTGACAGTCACCACCTCCCTCACTCTGTCACTAGTCACCACCTCCCTCCGTCACTGTGTCACCCCCTCCCTCATTCTGTCACCAGTCATCCCCTTACTCTGTCACTAGTCACCCCTCCCTCACTCTGCCACTAGTCACCCCTTCCCTCACTCTGTCACCTGTCACCCCCTCACTCTGTCACTAGTCACCCCCTCACTCTGGTGACAGAGAGAGGGAGGGTGTGACTAGTGACAGTGAGTAAGGGTGTGACTAGTGACAGTGAGTAAGGGTGTGACTAGTGACAGAGAGAGGGAGGGTGTGACTAGTGAGAGTGAGGGAGGTGGTGATTAGTGACAGAGGGAGGAATGGGGTGACTATCACTGTGTCACCCCCTTCCTCACTCTGTCACTAGTCACCCACTCCCTCCCTCACTCGGTCACTAGTCACCCCCTCTGTCACCAGTCATTCCCTCACTCTGTCACCAGTCATCCCTTCCTTCCCTCACTCTGCCACTAGTCATCCCTTCCCTCACTCTGTCACCAGTCATCTCCTCACTCTATCACCAGTCACCCCTTCCTTCCTTCACAGTGACAGAGTTAGGGAGGGAGTGACTAGTGACAGAGAGAGGGATGGGGTGACTAGTGACAGAGTGTGGAAGAGGGTGACTAGGGACAGAGGGGGTGATTAGTGACAGAGTGAGGGAGGGGGTGACTAGTGACAGTGAGGGAGCGGGTGACAGTGACAGAGTTAGGGAGGGAGTGACTAGTGACAGTCACTCCCTCCCTCTGTCACTAGTCACTCCCTCTGTCACCAGTCATCCCCTCACTCTGTCACCAGTCACCCCTTCCCTCCCTCACTCTGCCACTAGTCACCCATTCCCTAACTCTGTCACTAGTCACCCCCTCTCCCTCCCTATGTCACTAGTCACCCCCACTTACTGTGTCTCCCCCTCACTCTGCCACCACTCAACCCCTTCCTCCCTCACTCTGCCACCAGGTACCCCCTCACTCTGCCACCTGTCACAACCTCCCACACTCTTCCACCTGTCACCTTCTCCCTCACACACTGTCACCTGTCACATATGCATTCACACAGACACTATATACAAAAAAGCACATGTAGTCATCCTGACATGCACAAGTGCATTCACACAGACTCAAATACAAACATGCATTGATACACAGGTCTTCACAATATACACATCCAAAGGAATGCTGTATTATGAGTTATATTTAACATTTATTTAATGCACATATATTTGGCCTTCAAAGGGCCTGGGATCTAATTTTGCCCGGGGGCCCCAAAGGCTCTCAGTCCGCCCCTGGCTTCACTCCCACCTTGTTTGATTGCTATCTCCTGTCCTTTTGTGTTTTACAACCCACTTCCTATAGACTGTAAGCTTGTTTGAGCAGGGTCCTCTTCGACCTATTGTTCCTGTAAGTTTTTGTAATGATCTCATTTATTGTTAAATCTCCCCCTCTGATTGTAAAGCCCTACGGAATATGCTGGCACTATATAAATACCAGGAATAATAATAATATATAGAATGTATTACATATGTAAGTGGAGACAATAAGACAATGAGACACAGGAACTAAAATCATCAAAGGCCAAATATTGACGAGACCGAAAACCGAAGGAGGATTGGCAGTTCCGGTAGTTCAACTCTATTACAGAGCTTCCCACTTACAGAGAATATTAGAGCGGGTCAAAGATAGTGTCATCAAACCGTGGAAGGAGATAGAACAAACTCAAACATGAAGCTCCCTGAAAGTTTTTACCTGGATGAACCCAACTGAGAGTAGGCGACTATCACACCACCAACCACTTGCTAAGGCTACCATGGATATATGGCATAGGGCGGCACTGAAAATGGGCCTCTCCACTTTCCCCTCCCCCCCTATGTCCACTCACACATAACCTGGTATTTACCCCGGGAATGGAACAGTTTGCGTTTGCATGCTTGCTACCACACACACACACACATCTCCAGACCAGACATTTGATGGTAAAGGACAAGATCAGACCTCTTAGTGACAAGCACAAGCACCTTATTTCTACACAGAGTGAAATATGAACAATTACGACGATTTATAAGTAATATCCCACAGAAGCCTGACCTCTGTAGGACACTGACTCCATTTGAACTATTAGGCTATAACTCAGACCCACTCTCACATGCAGTTTTCCACATTTACTCCCTGCTCCTACAAAACAGGAACCTCCCATCGCCTCCATACATGGGCAAATGGAAAAACATGATTGGCAATACCTTTACTGAACAATAACAGGACAAGATTTGTGATTTGGTCCACTACTGTGAGCTAGCAAGTAAAACCCAAGAGACAGCTTACAAGGTTTTGTCACTATGGTACAGGACTCCACAGCTTCCTCGGCATATGAACCTAGATCTGAGTGACCGATGCTGGCGATGCCACATTTGGTGGGATTGCCCTAAAATCGTACCTTATTGGCGAGCAATAAGTAAGGTCTTACAAAGGTTCTCAGACAATATCCCCTCCATTCAGACCTGCCCCCTACCTCTTACATCACACTACAACACCGACTGCCAAATACAAGAAGCCCCTCACTGTCAGAATACTAAACACTGCAAAAACAAGCTTTACCCTTATACTGGAAGATAGACACACAGGGGCGGACTGACAGGTCGGGCAGATCGGTCATGGACCGAGGGCCCGAGTCAGTCAGGGGGCCCGGCAGCACAGTCATGCTTCTGCTGTGGAGATCAGATCAGAGATCTCCACAGCAGAAGTAAGAAAGCGCTGTAAGAAGGTTGCAGGGGCCCATAATGACTCTAAGGGCCCCTGCAACCCATCAGTCTGCAAATACCCCTCCCCATTCAGTGAGAGACCTGGCAGCACATCTCTAACTGCCAGGTCTCCTCTCTCTCTCTCTCCCCCTGCTCTGTGCTCTGTGCGAGGATGGGAGGCGGGGCAGGAAGTGACATCACCACCTGCTTCCCTCTCACACGGAGCACACATACAGCGTGGATGGAGGGTGAGAAGGAGCCTGTCTGCCCCACTGCTGCTGGAGGAAGAAAAACATCACATTGTACAGGTAAGCAGGCCCATACACACACTGCCCACCTATATACACACACTGCCCACCTATATACACACACTGCCCACCTATATACACACACTGCCCACCCATATACACACACTACCCACCTATATACATACACTGCCCACCTATATACACACACTACCCACCTATATACATACACTGCCCACCTATATACACACACTACCCACCTATATACATACACTGCCCACCTATATACACACACTACCCACCTATATACATACACTGCCCACCTATATACACACACTGCCCACCTATATACACACACTACCCACCTATATACATACACTGCCCACCTATATACACACACTGCCACCTATATACACACACTGCCACCATATACACACACACTGCCACCCATATACACACACACTGCCCACCTATATACACACACTGCCCACCTATATACACACACACTGCTTACCTATATACATACACTGCCCACCTATATACACACACTGCCCACCTATATACACACACTGCCAACCTATATACATACACTGCCCACCTATATACACACTGCCCACCTATATACACACTGCCCACCTATATACATACACTGCCCACACATATACACACACTGCCCACCCACATACATACACTGCCCACCCATATACACACACTGCCCACCCATATATATATACACATATGCACACACACACACTGCCCCACACACACTGCACACCCATATATACACATACACTGCATACACTGCCCACCTATATATATATATATATATATATATATATATATATATATATATATATATATACACACACACACACTGCATACACCGCCCACCCATATATATATACACACACACTGCCCACCCATATATTCACACACTGCCCACCCATATATACACACTGCCCACCCATATATTCACATACTGCCCACCCATATATACACACACACTGCATACACTGCCCACACATATATACACACACACACATTGCCCCACACATACATACACTGCCCCCATACACACACTGCCCCCACACACACCGTACACATACACACACACTGCCCCCACACTTACACTGCCCCCACACACACCATGCACATACATACATTGCCCCCACACACTGCCCTCCCCATACACACATTGCCCCGACACACATACACTGCCCTGACACCATACACATTCACACACTGCCCCCCATATACATACACTGCCAACACACACACACATACACAGCCCCACATACACACACACATTGCCCCACACACCCTACACATTCACTCACTACACCCCCCCCACACACACACTGAACCTTTCACACACACTGCACCACTCACACACACCACTGCTCCTATGCCCTACTACAGCCTCATATCATAGCAGACCCCAGGTAAGTTGTCAAACTGTTCTCAAACTGTTTGACTACTTACTTTCAAATTATTTTTAACATTTACTTAGTCCTTAAAGGACCACTATAGGCACCCAGACAACTTCAGCTCAATGAAGTGGTCTGGGTGCCAGGTCCCTCTAGTTTTAACCCTGCAGCTGAAAACAAAGCAGTTTCAGAGAAACTGCTATGTTTCACTAAGGGTTAATCCAGCTTCTGTTGCTGTCTCACTGACAGCTGCTAGAGGTGCTTCCGCGATTCATACTGTGAATGCGTGCACTGAATTCGAGAATGCGAGAATTCCCCAGAGCCGAGGGAGCCCGGCGCAGGAGAAAGGTAAGTGGTTGAAGGGGTTTTAACCCCTTCAGCCCAGCGGGAGGGGGGCACTATAGTGCTCCTTTAATATTTTGTCTTGAAGGGCCCTGGATCTAATTTTGTCCGGGGGCCCAGGAGGCTGTCAGTCCATCCCTGCTTACAAGTCGTGAAAAAGGAAATCTGGGGAGTGACCTTTAAATAACTTCAAAAAGTCAAATATATGATCTGTGGCAGGAAAACTACTTTCCAGCATGGATTTTTGAAATAACTGGTTATTTAAAAGAGGGCAGAGGTTCATCCGAAATTGTATGCAAGCTACATTTCTTTATTGCTAATACATTTTAAAATAGTCTCAATAGCAGTGTAGTCAGAGGAGTACTTCTCAATTAATGTGCAGTCGAGCGGATTTAATGCATGATCTGTGAACCAAATGCTCCCAAATGAAAAACCAATTGAGCATCTCACCCTGATACTGGACATTAAACATCTGGATATAAAGCTATTTTTTATTTGACTAATATTTTAGAAATCAGTTGTTATGTGCGGCATAGACTGGTACAAGCATACGTATTCCAGTGGACATTATTATTATGGTCATATGAAAGCTGAACATAGACCATATTATTTAAATGGATGACTAGGAAGGTCATAAAATAAATAGTTATTTTGTGTTGGTGCTTCTTATATTTTAGTGCAAGTACTGATTTATTTATTTTATGAGAAATTAATTTTTTAATTGTTAATGTACAATGCACTACAGGTTAAATAGCATTATTTTTATTGATAAAAGATTGCCAATATTTAAATGCCATTATAAAAGTGATATTAAATATAAAATACTGATAGTAGGGTCAGATGAAGACACGCTTTACATCTGACTTTTCTTGCTCTGTGTAACTTTTTCTTTATCCTTCTTGTAAAAACAAAAAACAAATGTACATTACATACCCTAATGCAATCTGTTGTGTTTTTTTTTTTTTTTCAGGAGTAAAGCCTTGAAAACAAGGGGTAGTATGAGATCAGGCATACATTTGGTGTATGTGTATGAGAAACTCTTGATCTCATCTACCACAACCATAGGACCCCCAAAGAGCAGGGAAAGAGCCCCATTTGCCCTTTTCACTTGGTGCTAATTTTT